GTTGGATAACGTGTCTAAGTCCATAACTTATTTGGTATATACTTGACCCAACCCGACATGGTCCATTTGGGTTGCATTTCATCCAAACTATTTATGGATAATTTTATGAGAGTCATACACATATGATTATTAATATGTTATAAGTTATAATATATTAATATGAAGTCATGTTATTTAATTAGTCTTAGTCTTAAATTAATTATGAATTAATTTAGAGATTAAAAGGAAGACTAATTAGATTGTGGGCTATTGATTTTATGTGGTGTGGGTAACACCCATTTGTTAATGGGCTAGGCTTGTATGGAAGTCCATGGATGGTCCATGGAGCTTTTAACCCATGGATCCTTGGAAAAGGAAAGGTCATGGGTTATTAGGGTTTCACCCTAATCATGTACACTATATAAGCATGGTCATGTTGCATGAAATAGCCACTAGTGTGTGTGTCTGTTTGTGGCCGAAAATTGTAGTTAGTATACACTCTCTTAAAGTTTTTCAAGACTTTGTGGTGATTTGTGATTCCATTTGAGGCATTCACACTATTGGTGCTTGGCCCTCGAACTCCTTAAGAATCAAACTCATCAAAATGGTATGTAATCTCATCTAATTCTTTTATGTTTAAAAGTACCCCATGCCATGTTAGATAGGTTATGAACCTTGGAAAATTATTATTTTACATGTATTTAGATAAACATAGATCCAAGGTTTATTAGGGTTGCATGCACACTTAGGAAGTGTTAGATTCCTCAAAACCCAACACTAAGGACCTTAACACACGAATTTGGGGAGCTTCCCATGGGTTTACGGTCATAAACCCACTAGGGCCATAAACCCTTGGCCGTAAACTCCATGGAGAGTGGTCGTTGGGTCATAAACTCAATAACAATGCCTTACAACCCTTAGATGCAACCCTAAGTCATTATAACACTTAAATCCAAGTGTTTTCCATGTTCTAGGGTGTTTATACTTGTCTAATTAGTGTTATAATCACTAATTATATACATATATATATATCTTTATATTTTAATAGGATCATTGTGTGTGTGTTCAAGTCTTGACTTGACACCTAGCACCTTATCCAACACTTCCATCCAATCCACTCACTCAGGTGAGTTCATACCCCTTAAATAACCTTTTAAATGTTTTTAAATGCTTTTATGGCGGGGGAGGGGGGGGGGAATACAAGTTGAATCATGATAGTTATTATATCAATCACATGTGATTAATAACTATCAAACTATGGATTTACTACACTTTCAGCTGTTTTAACAAGCAAACTACTTCAAAATGATTTCTGAAACGTTTTTACATGTTAAACTCTTTATCAAACTGTCTTACATACTATATGTTTCCTTTTAAATTCTGTTATAACTGTGTTTTTAAACAAAGGATTTCTTATGCTCTAAATTGTTTATATCAAACAAACTGCTTTTAAATCGTTTTTTAAATTGACATCAAGTCATCAAGTCTTATTATTAAACTTTTCAAATGTTTTACAAAACTTCTTTTAAACTTTTATATTGTCAAATGTGTGCCTATATATGTATAGTTATATAAGTAATGTTTAAAGTACTTAGGACTGCTAACTCGCTTTAATTCCTTTTCCTTGTTTGGATGTGGCCTTAGGGTATCAGTTATTTGTCCGAATGTCGTCTAAAATATTAGTTATATATTATGTATAAATATATAGACATAAAATTTTTATCAGTCAGTTCAGTACCTTTGGGTAGCAAAGGCATACTTTCATTTATTCATATACATACATTACTTGTAACTATAATGGGTATAGTTTAGGTGATACTATTTACTGTTCTTAGTACAAGGAATCACACAAGAGTCAGTTCATTCATGAGTCTATACAAATATACTACACACTATATGAAGAGACACTAATACACACTATATGAAGAGACACTAATACACATTATATGAAGAGACAATAGTACACACTATATGAAGAGACACTATTACATACTATATGAAGAGACACTATTACATACTATATGAAGAGACACTATTGTATACTATATGAAGATACACTAGTACATACACTACTCACTACGGGACTGACCATTTTACACCTGGCTGCTAGCTACAACGGGACTGTTCATCTTCAGATGTTCTAGGTTGTACTGTTCGGCGATTTACTACTCTGTGTTTATCCTAGACAAATGGATACGATTCCAAGGATTATACAATTTTCCTTGTTGCCTTTACTTTGTGACACGTTCACATAAACGATGAGGTATAATATATTTTGATACGATATCAATAATTATATAATTTTTCCCTATTACTTTTATCTTGTGACACATTCACATAAGCGATGAAGTATATTATATTTTCATAATAATAGTTATACAGGGGAAAAACCTTCATTTTTACAGATGTTCAAACCTTCAAAACAGTCGGGTCTTGGTAGAAGACTACTTTTTATACTAATAGGAAATATGGGATTTTCTAGGGTTTTCATACATAAACAAACTTTTTCTTTTAACATTTACAAGTATTTTCTTTACAGTTTTTACAAATCAATGACACTAAAATACTTATGAATTCACCAGCTTAAATGATGATCTATGCTTTCAAAATAACTTGTATTCTCAGGTCACCACTAGACAGGTACGATGACCAGGTTTTGAGAAGACGGAGCAGTCAAGACTCGCCTTTTATTTTGATTACTTAGTTTCATGTCTTATTCTATGAAAGAACACACTTGTATTAAAATTATACTATTAATGCAATGGATGATGTTGTTGCTTGTTTACTACTTTACACTGTTGTGATACTTTACATGACGTCCTCCGTCCCAGAACATTTCCGCCGTTCTTGGTTTTGGGATGTGACACACCCCTCCTCTACAAATTATTCTCAATTAAGATCCATAAATTACCATTTAACCCCTCCTTCTGAAAATCTTACAAATCAAGTCCTAGATTTACACTTTTAACCCTCGAAAATCAAAAGTATATCATTTGGCACCCCGGAACCAACACCCCACTAACGATTTAATTATTCTATTTAAAACGGGGTGTTACAAATGACCTCTCGGTTGTGAACCTGCAACTTTACCGTTCACCTACCTCGGTGTCCTGGTAGGATCTAATATGAATCATATAGCCGCATGGAAGCCGATCTTGGAAAGACTGAAATCAAAACTCTCAATCTGGAAGGCAAAACCCTTAGTTTTTGTGGAAGAATCACTATTGCTAAAGTTGTACTTGGAAGTCTTCCCACATACTTCCTATCCATATTTGGAGCCCCCGCTAGTGTCATCAATTCCTTGGAAAAAAGTCGTAGGAAATTTATTTGTCACCCTACCTGTGAAATAGTATAAACTAGGTGGCTTAGGATAAGTTGACAACTCCAAAATCAGTTGGTGGTATGGGTATCGGTTCAATCCGATCTTTAAACTTGGCACTACTAACCAAGTGGTTGCGGCGGCTAAAATGTGAAACCCATTCCTTATGGGTATCGATCATCACTGGAATTCATAACCTGATGGGGGAGTCTAATCGTTTGTGCGCCAAAAACCCTTGTAGTAGTGTATGGAATAATATAGTAAAAAGCGGAAAAAAGTTGGAGAAGATCAATATTTCTTTCAAAGAAATAATGCGTTATGAAGAGAATAACGTTACTTGGGTATCTTCCTTTGTAAAAGATGGAGGGTTCTGCATAGCTGCCCTTCGGGATAGAACTGAAAGGGCTTCCTACCTAGTATGTGACGGGAACTTCCCATGGCTTAATTTGATTCCAAAAAAAGTTCTGGGCTTTGTATGGAGAGCAAAGCAAAATCGAATTCCTTCAGTGGTGGCACTCAAAAACAGAGGAATTGACTTAGCATCAACGATTTGTGATGTATGTAAAACGTCGGACGATGTAAAACGTCGGACGAAACTGGTGATCATATCCTTGCTTCATGCACAATGGCGAGGTCAGTAATACAATCTATTCTTCATTTGTGTGGTCTTCTGAAGAATGAATTCCAGTCAGTTTTGAACATCATTGATTATGCTTCCAATTGAGGTAACTGCCCTAAAAAGGACATTCTAACTGTGATATTATTCGAAACGTTATGGTCCTTGTGGAAAGCTCGAAATGATCGAGTTTTTAAAAAAGTTGAAGTGAATCCGGAGAGGATTGTTGCTGCTATAAAGTTATTAACGTATGTTTGGGTGAAACATAGAGGAGATAGAGGTAGTATAGAACGGAACACATGGAACTTATCCCCTCTGCTTTGTATTTGAATTATTGTATGCAAACATCTTAGCTAGCAGTTTGCTAGTGGGAATAATTTCTTTATTAATAATATTACTGGTTCAAAAAAAAAAAAAAAAAAAATCGGAAAAAAAGTTATATGTAAAATTACCAATTAACTACTTGTTAGACTGATGAGAATATAACAATGTCCGAAAGTTTTTATTACATTTTTAGTCTTAATTTTTTTTAAACATTTAAAATATACATCATCCGTCCCATAATTATTATCCATTTTTAACTTTTGAAGTTTTTATTCATTATCTTTGACGTTAAATATTTTATTTTGTGCTATGTATTGCTTGATGAAACATATAACAATGAAAAAACATTTAAAACAAAAATATTATACAGTTAAAATTGAAAAATAAAGACTTCAAAAATAAAAAATAAACAATAAATATGGGATGAAGTATAAATGTATATATTAATAAATTTAATATGATTTGTTGTAACATTGGATGATACATAAAATGAATATAAGGGGATGACAGTTAATTGGATTGAATCAGTTTGCTTTTTGTCATGTCTTTATATTGGTTTTTTTAACTTACTGATCTAATTAAAATGGGATATACGATTTTCTTAGATCAGTTTCAATTAGATTGGTTAGTTTGAATTGAATTGAATTGAATGCACACCTCTAACAACAACTTCAACTTGATGTATGAACCATTTATCTTTCTTTCTCTTTATTTGCGATTACATAATACACCCATACAAGTATACAACCTCAACTTCCTTCCTCAAATAGGTCCCTTGAACGACACTAACTGCCTAAATTTCTGCCCTGGCTTATCCCAAACAACAGCCACATAATTTAGCACTAGACCACCATTGACAACCATAATTGTGAGATTGTAATCCATTCCTGCAACCACTTGGCTTTCTCCACTAAGAACTTTCCTGAATTTTAGAGTCGCATGGTTCTTCTTGTCATGCTCATCCACTGCAAACTTCCCGATGTCCACCACTAGAGGGTCAGTGACATCGGGAATTGGTTTCCAACCACCAGCCAGAGTCCCTTTCCCCAATGCCTCGCAACCATCATAAAAGATGAGAGTTAGGATGAAGATGATGAAGATTTTGATGAGATGGTATTGCATTTTGGAAGGATGATTCATGGGAAAGAGATGAAGAAGTGGGTAGTTTGTTAATTACATGTGGTATATATATAAGGAATAGAGGAGAGGATGTCACATTAAATTTGTCAATTTGTCAATTGTATTCTTCGTTCAAATTCAAGTTCAGTATCTTTCCAAATCAAAAGGTTTATTCTACAAAAATTTGAAAAATTATTTGTACGCCAAAAGTAGATGATAACGTTGCACTAAGGACAGTGTAGGGTTGTAGGCCACGCCCTTTAGGAAAAGCTTAAATTATTTTTTTGATAAAGTAAAATTTTAGTTTGGAATTAAAAAATAATTCGCCCACAAAATAATTTTGTCTATTAACTCCAACGAGGCACATGTAGTAGGGAAGCAAATCTTTGAATTTGATTGTCCTTTTAATCTCATCTCATGTGTATGTATTAGAGCAAATCCAACAACCCTCTAATTTCATAATATGCGGGCCCAACATGCTCCAAATTTTTTTTTTTTTTTTTTTTTTGAAAATCCGACTACGTTGAAAACGATAAACAAAATATGATCTACCACAACTGCCAAAAATAACGAGTCATGGTACACGGACAGACGGACGGCAAACCTATTAAAGCATTATTATTATTATGGTTAATGTCATATAAGGATAACCACTTTAAACACCATTCCACTAAAATAGTGTACTAAGAACCAAGATGGGAGATGACTCTTTGACGATAGTCAGTCATCGCAATAGGAATGTGAACGTGCATGGTAATCGTAGGGATCATCAAAGCTGCCAAGAACCAAGAACTACTCACGTAATTTTAGATATAATCTCCCTCTTTATGACTAATTTTTCGGACTCAGTTCAAGTCGAAGACACTCATAGGCTATGTGGTCGAGCTTGTAGTCGCTTGGGTAAGATAGTTGGTGTGTTTATCGCTAAAAAACTATCAAAATTGGGGAAACGGTTTGATTTTATTAGGTTTTCAGGCGATGGTAATTGTGTCTCTCTGATAAAATAGCTTCGTGAAGTTTGGTTTGGATCATATACTGTGACGCTCGCAGATCAAGGCTAGTCAATTTAGAGATAATAGGGGTCGAAAACGACTTTTCGACAAAAGATTATTTAGAATAAATAGTATTAACCAAGTTCTATAATATGTCTTAAAGGTTCCGTACATATAAAGAACGCCTAAATCCGAGATAACGAAGAAGTTATGGCCCGTCGAAGTTTTAGGGCAAAACCGCCACGATACCGGGAGACGTAAATAGTGAGTTTATGATAGAGCGACTTTTAACCTTAGTAATCTAAATGAAATTAGTAGAATATGTTAACCTGAGAGCATACATAAAAAGAACGCCCAAATCTGACTTCATATGAGGAAGTTATGATTTTTCGAAGTTTCAGCTTAGTAGTGTACGACCCGAAACTCGAATTTTAGTTCGAGCGGTTTTTGGCATACGCGACCTAAATGAGAGTTGAAGATCTCATTAATAGGAACTCAACGGTAAAAAGACAGATGCAAACGGAGTCCATATGAAGGAGTTACGAATTCTTCGCGGTCGTTTAACAGTATAATCTCTTTCTACTATTAAATTTAAGATCGATCGAGAATTAGCTGACGGAGTCTAAATGAAAGTTGTAGATCTTGTTTTTACCTACACGTGGATATAAAGCACGTCGAAGACGGAGTTTGTATGCGAAAGTTATAAATTTTAAAAAATCGGCTGATTTCCACCCTGTGTGCGATACCACGTGTCAGCACCAGGCTGTGGCTGGCTGTAGCCAGCCTAGCTCATGATGTGAATATCAAAAATACATGACATGAGTGACCCTCCAACCCCTATAAATAAGAGGTGAAGCCCTCTTCATTCCTCACACCTCCCATAACTTCCTTCTCTCTCTAGAACTTCTCTCTAGCCCCGAAACCCCCTCGAAGAACCTAAGGAACCTCCCTATCACGAGGCGGAAGCCCCGAAGTGCCCGACGGCTCCGAGAGGAAGAGCCTTTCGACTCAGGAACACTGCTCCAGTGACGCTCGGTTTTGAGAAAAACTTGCTGTAAGTGAGCTACGCCTAACCTATCTTTAGTATAGCTTATGATTCAACATAGCAATGTTATTAGGACCTTATAATAAATACTTGGGCTATTAGTATGGGTTATATAACTATTAGTTAACACTTATATAATAGCAATAATAGCTAGACTATTAATTAGTGTCGGTGAATAATAGACTAAACTCTAGTGGTAATGATACTAGGTTTCGTCAAGGGATAAATGTTTTAAGAGTAACGTAGTGTTGTCCGAGTGCCGACTCACCACCTTACAAAGTGAGTGCATAGTTACTTTCATCTTACACATAGATATGAAGTATTTTATATAAATTAGGTGTCATGTGTGCATATTATCTGGATAGTTGTTGTCTATGCTGGATGAATGATTTTATACATGTTTTAAATGATGTAAAGTATATATTTATTTTATATCTACAAATATGTTGGGATAAAACATGGGTAAATGAAATAGTTGATGTGTGATAAAATAAAATGATGAAAGATAGGTGATGATAGGAAGGTGATGATAATTAGGTGAGTATAGATAGGTGATGATGAATCGATGATGTAGGATGAAATATACTATAACCTTGTCCGGAAATTTGGAAATGTAATCATCTACCAGAGTATAGATGGCGACCACGAATTATTATAGACAACCCCGTGGAAACACCAACAGGCTCATAACCTGTAGGTGATGAATCACGAGTTCAGGTAATGTTTTAACTATGTATTCATGCGATGATACTCTAACCCCTTACTATGAATTATGAGTTCAGGCGATGTTGTAACCACGTATTCATGCAATGATACTCTAACCCCTTACTATGAATTACGAGTTCAGACAATGTTGTAACTACGTATTCATGCGATGATACCCTAACCCTTGTTAGGCATGTATTGAGGGAGTAATCCCTGAATCAATACTGTCTATGCGATGTAGGTGATGATTCTTAGGGAGAGTCCTTAGGAACAAACAAATAAGGAAATGCGATGTAAGGAGATAAGAGGTAAATATGATGTAGGAGACGACCCTTAGGATAAATCGTTAAGGAGGGTACTTAGGAATAAGGAAGATAATGGGGATTGGTAATTGGGTTAATTGTTTGATGATTAAACATAATAATTATATTATTGTGGGTTGAAAACCCTATGTACTCACCAGGTTTCCCAACCTGACCCACTTAGTTTACTTGTATCACAGGTGACGATGTGAAGTTACATTACACTGAGAGATTAAGGAGATATTGATCACTAGTGTAAATGAATGTAAGTTCTGTTTATGCTTATGTTTCTATATTGACAATGACATCCCAAATGTTTTAAAATGAATAAAAATACATTTCTTCGGAAATGCTTTGATAACGTATTTATCATGTTTGACTAGGAACAAATTCCGCAACATTTTTATTAAAAGAGGTACTCTGATTTTTATAAAGCATAAACAAAATCGGTCTTTTCTGGTCGTAAAAATGGGGATGTCACAGTTGGTATCAGAGCATTAGTTTAAGCGAACTAGAAATATGGATTTATTTCTAGACTTCAACTTAGAATGCTAAGCAATAATTGTGAGAAGTGTCTTAGGTAATACACGTGAATAGACACAAGCACTAGCTTATTTAGGGAAAATGCCTAACATGCTTTTATGTGCTAAATGAGTTATGATGCTAAATGTATGATTCGATCTATGGTCTGTTGCCGACCGGATCTAGTAACTTTATATGTTCAGATTTCTAAACGTTTAGTTACGGTATTAGAACCGACATGTACCTTTTCAGAGTGATAACGAGATTTGAACGTTGATCGTACATAAAATCTTTCTTATCTAATTCTCGTCGCTACACACCGAACGTTTAAATTGGTGAATAGATCGAAATGGCAAGAACCCGCAGTGGAGCTGGGAATGTGAATGGAAACAGGAATCAACCACCAATGATTGAGCAAATACCTGTTGTAGTAGCCACTCCTGAGCCAATTACGATGGACGGAGTTCAAGCGTTGATCCATATGATGTTGGATCGTCAAATAGAGGAAACAAGGCGTTTACTTCAATAAACTCGAGAGGAACTTACGATGCCTATTGAACAGCCCGAGCTGGATGACGGGCAATCTGAGGAAGGGAACGACAGCAGGATCGTTGGTTAAGCTGATCCACCGGTGATTAGGAGGAACAATCAAGATGAAGGAGTCGAGAGGAATGGATGCAAGTACAAAGATTTTCTAACTTGCAAGCCATCGACTTTCACTGGGAAGGAAGATCCGATCGTAGTCATGGATTGGATCTCAGAGATGGAATTAGCCTTCATGACATGTGGTTGCAAAGTCAAGCTACAAACCACGTTTGTAGTACGTCAATTCATAGGAGGTGTTGTTCGCTGGTGGAACACCCTGGGGAAGACTCTAAGCCCTAATGAGCCCCTATAATTAACTTGGGTAGAGTTTTTGGTTCAATTCAAGCATAAGTACTGTTCATCCCAAAACCTGCTCGAGCTAGAGAACCGATTCCTAACTTTGAAGAAAGGAAGCATGTCCATCAATGATTAGACCAACAACTTCATTGAGAAAATGGAGTTTGACTTGCGTCTTGTCCCAGACAAGATGACAAAAATAAAAAAGTACACAAAGGGACTTTCTTGGGAGTATACGGTGCCAGTACGCCAGGCGCTTACTCTAGAGGCAGCTATCTGGGCTGCCAAGTCTGTTTAGGATATGATCAAGGGAAGAGCCACCAGAAAGGTTGAAATTGGAGAGAAGAGGAAGTTTGAAGGATATTCAAGGTCCAAAAAGGAGAGCAAATCTATGAAGTCTGGAGGAGAAAGAGGAAATGAGCCAAGATGGTGCGAGAAGTGCAAGAAGAAGCACTTTGGAAGATGCAATGGGGAAGTGACGTGCTATAAGTGTGGTCGGATCGGTCACTATTCTAGATATTGTACATTCGACAACAAGAAGTGCTACAAATGTGG